GTTAATGGGATGGAAGGAAGAACAGAATACGAGCAAAGAAAGATACAACCAGTCTCATGTCTCTGAAACTTAATTTTCTGGTTGTGAAATGTAGATTTTTTTTTTTCTTGGCACATGAGGGTCCCTGTCTTGAGCTCAGTATTATTGTCACGTGGTGTTCACAGCACTATGAATCTCATGTCAAACACAATGAGGTGAGGAAGGAGAACAAACAGCTCAAATACTTAGTGATTCACCATACTTCTGCAGTAAAAACTGGGAGGAATTGGAAGACAAATGATTTCTGAGATCTAGATTCTTCTGTAATGTAAAAATGATTTAACAAATCAATAAAAGCAGCAGATCCTACACACTTTTTTGTCTACAACTGAAATTTTGCCTGCTATTGGATAAATATATATATAATTGATCTTAATCTATAAAATAAAAGCATGATAGGATGCACATAAAAATCAGTTGCCTTCTTTCAGTTTTCTCCTCAGTCTATGAGGGGAATTCTACAGATATTTGATAAAAACAAGAAGTGTTGGCCTGGACAAGGGAGAAAGGCGAAGTTTATTGATATTTTTTGCTCTCTTCTTCCTTTTCTCTAAGCATACTTGCAAGATTAGAAAGTTGTCTTTGATATGTGTATCTGAGATGTGATATGAAAATGCTGGGAATTATTCAGCGCCAAAAAGGAGTGGGCTGCTCATGACAAACTCCACCTGAATATAAAATATAATGGTTCCTATAATGCTTTTAGCACTTTAACTGTCTCCTCTGTTCTTTGCCTTCTTTTCTATCTTTAAGCAGCTATTCTGGGTACCTTAATTTCAGGATTAAAATCTCATTCAGCTCTTTATCTCTTTATGATTATATTGGATTACCTGCATAATGTATCTTCTGAAAATATTTACCTAAATGTAGTACATTATGGTGGCTATGGGTTTTGGTTTTTTTGTGTGGTGTTTTTTGTTTTGTTTTGTTTTTGTTGTGTTTTGTTTGTTTTGGGATGGTTTTTTATTTGGGGTTAGATTTTTTTTGGCTAAATATGCAACATTTTGGTACATGAGAATGCAGGAGCCAGAGGTGTGCATATCAGGAAATCTAACTTTTTGCTTTCTAGAGAATTCCCTACTAGACTTTTTAAAACAATACATTACCCTGAAATGGCATGGAGAGAATTTCAAAAGGACCAAGGGATTAAAAAAATTATCCTTCCTTGACACTCAGGGGAATTGCTTCTGAAAATCCCAGTGCTTTTCTTTTGTGCATCAATGAAGATTGAAATCTGAGTGTAGGAATATCACAGAAATCTGTTAAATTCCTTGCAGTTTGCCTCTCAGGTGAACAGAGTGCAATAGCCCAAGATGCTTTAGTTCTAGACATGGTGAGCATGTGGTGCTAACACCAAAGCTGTGGGTTCAGTCCCCTGTGGGTTGTTCACTCAAATGGGACTTGATGATCCTTGTGGGTCCCTTCCAACCCAGAATATTCTGAGATGAAAAAACTCATTCTTTGTAGTAATCACAGTTGAATAACATAGAACTTAATATAAACCCATTAAGAGACATCCAAGTGAGATGTTAATGACAGATGTCTCAATTTCCTTTTCCCCTCTGTGAGCATGTTCTCTGCTTTGCTCTCATTATCTCATTTTGCTTTGCTTGCTCTTTCATTGTGATCTGTAACTGTTCAGTGAATATAAAGTGTCTCCAAATAATGGGTGCTGACTTTGAGGGTGGTTTCAAATTTTGGTTTAGACTTCTGCCTGTGGTTCTGAATTGGGTGTATTTGAGTTTCTAGATCTAAATCTTGAAATTCCTTTCCACTTGGATACTCGTATTCATGCCACACCAAATACTGGCTTATTAATCTTCAGTAATCCTATGTCCCTTTGTCATGAAAAATATATGGTCCTTAGTCTTGTATAACCAAAAGTATTGGAAAATATGGAGTCTAAAGAACCAGCATACCTAGGGTGAAGAGCACATAAGACTTCTTTAAATAAAAAACCTTTGAAATACATTAAAACACATAGACAGCTATGCCTCTCTTCCATTTACACTTCAGTTATTCAATGATATCACAGAACCAGAGGTGATCATGAATGAATCAACAGCAGAATAGCCCTAGACCTCTTTACTGAGAAACTGCCTTAACTGAATACGTCATGACCCTGAGAGAAATATTACTTTAAGTGGATTATAGGAAAAAGCATGTAACTATGTTCCATTTTTTCCATCTAGGAGACTCGTATGTATTACTTGTGTGTAAATGTAGCTAATTTTCTATTTTCAGTAGCTGTGGTCACATGCAGTTGAAGAGACGAAGTGAGAAGGTGGGTTGGGCTTGTAATGAGTTTGAGAATCCTTGCTTTTCTTGGGCCTATGCCGAGTAAACCAAATGTGTAGGGATTAGCTCCTAAAGCACATTGCAGGTGATTTCGGGCAAATGGAAAGTTACACTGTGGGAATTGGAGAAAAGTTCTGAATTGGAAAGACTCTGCTTGCTGATCTGGTATAGTCCAGAAAGATTTTTTTTTTTCTTTTGCCTCCCTTTTCTCTGCCATTTTCTTCTCTGCTGAGGTTATAAACCAATCTTATTTGTCTTCCTTTGTAGTTTACCAATGTGTGGGTCTGTAAACGTGTCCTCATGCTGACAAGTAGATGTTTTTCTGCAAAATTTTACAGAGCACAAGCATCCAAAGGCTGTATATCTCATCATTTAACAAATTTTGACGTTCAGCACAAAACATGTCAAACTGCTTTTCTCAAATGGCCAGCAGTTCTCTGTACAGAGCTGGTGGCGGGGGATTGAAGTTTTCAGTGTTCAAAACCCCTTAAGTGCAGAGAATGACTATAAATCCACTGTCTTATAGTTGCAAACAATCGTTGGAATTTTGCAGTTCCTGAGTGGAATTAGGAATAGTTCCATTGGTCAAAACAAATCTGTTCTTTTCAGATTATACCATATTTCATGAAAATGAACAATTAAGTCTTGCTTGCATTATAGCTTCTTTTTGTCTAGTACTTTCAAATATGTTATAGATATTTGGCAGAGTTGCATAGTCAGAAGCTGAATGATACACAGAGTCTGCATTCTCTTGGCTTTGGTATTCTGCCCAGGATTTTTACCTCACAATCTTTATTTGGAGAGAAAAAAATTAGTAGGTCTTAAGCCCCAAAACTACTTTATTTCTTATTCTTTCTTGTGCTGTCTTGAACATTTGTACAGCACTAGTATCAATTATTCAATCAGTGTCTTTGAAAAGCACCTACCAGGCTGCCAGATTCCTGTTGCAGAGAAGCTAGATGGTGCCAGAAATCAGTCACTCTGCTAAATATTGCTGCTGGCTCCACTCCCTGTCTCTCAGAGTCGGTAGAAGTCTAATCTTCTGTTCTTCTGTGAAAAGATGGCAGGATGTAAAAATGCCATGTGAAGTTGCTGTTATGTAACAAATGTTTTGCTATCCTGCATGGTTAAGGAGTTAAACTGGTCTCTAGTTTTAAAGTGTGGGTATCTTCTGTTACATGGAATGCTTCTATGTTCAGCTGATGTGGTATTTGTCATTTAGTTCTTCACTTGCCAGACCTTTGGATCTGTGAATTTAGAAATTCCTCTGTTTTAAAGAACTGGCTTGCTTGCAGTCAAGTCTAAGAAAGGCAGATATCACACTGCCTTGCACATGCACAGAACACCACCCAGCTGAGTTCCTATAGAGCAGTTCAGCTACTCCCAGCATTCACCACCCAGATGATGCTTGTGCACATTTGCCATGCTGAAAATTAAAATGGTGTAATATTAAAATTAAACTTGGAAAAACTAATGCTGATGCTAAATGTGCAAAGAAATTTGTTCATAATTGCGAATGTATCTTTATGGCATTTCTAGGTTTTACAGAATGTAGGGACCATTCTGAAATGCTAAGAGCCATTTGTTTGTATAAGAAAAAATAGAATTAATTTTTCAATCACACTTAGGATATGCAGATAGTTTTTAGTAGGCATTTAAAACAAGCATAACAAAATTAGCCTATGTAAGACTGATCAAGCTCCTGTATTTCTGTTAAATGTGTTCCATAGCTGGGATAAGGTGCTTAATTAGCACGCAGTACCAAATTAAAAATCTGAATACTTAAAACAGCCCATTCAGTGCTTGTTTGCACCATGGAGGAGCCCAAAGCCACTGCCCACAACATATCTGCCAGACAATTTCTGTGTTGCTTGGGCCAGGCTGGAGCTGAGTCCCCCTCTGCAGAAGTGCCCCACTGGCCTCACTTCAGCGTGTCTTGCACAGCAGGCTGACAGTGTGTCAGCTTTCCCTTTGCTTTCTGCTCCTCTGACAGGCATCAGAGCAAATCCTAAACATGAGGGAAAATGGTGTCTCGATTACCAGGTGCATTCTCTATTGCCAAATCAATGTTTAAATTGCTCTTTGCTTCTGGAGGAAACATTTGGGAGCATCCCTGAATCACATTATCTTGTTGTAGCTGGGGGTGGGTTTAGGTTTGAAATCCCAGGTCTGTGCCCAGGGTGGGTATGTAGTCTCTTCAGAGAGAGGTAGTACAAGTGCCTGATCTTTTGTCAGTTGGCAGAGAAGTGTTTTCAGGGCCAAATTCCAGGAGAGAGTTTCTGGCCATATTGTTATAAGACTAGCAAAAGTTTAAAGGATGCAGTTCTAGGCCTGTGGCTCTCATTATTCCCCCAAATAGTTCAGTAGGACTATCTTCAACCTTCTGGCTTCTGAGAGTATCTGTCTGTGTGCAGTTCTTTAGGCAGCTCCGTGTATTGCCTAGATATAAATCTCTGTGGATATTTTGGGTATCGATGCTTGGAAGATAACTGCCCTGTTTAGCTGATCTGTGAGTTCAGACCTTTGGTTGCTCTAACCTATTTCCAGGACTCTTCCCCTTTGCCTTCTAATTTGGAAATGGCTTCAGTGATTGTGAGTTGGCTCCTCTTGTCCTTAACTAGGAAGTTAATGTGTTCTTTGCTTGTGTTGTGCTTTCTTCGTAGGTCTAAGTTGATATTGCTCCTTCTGCTGAAGTGACAGCTCCTGGGTGATGTGTGGCACTGCACAGCCAAGAAATCTGCATGCAGGATGCGTTTTCTCCAGCACCACAGTTAACCACAAAGAGATTTAGCAGGTAAACCAGAGCCTCAAAGTCTGTTTCCATTATCAAAATGCTTAGTTTCAACTGCTAATTCTGAAATATAAAGGCACAAGCCCAGTGTTTATGCATATGATTTTGATAGCTGAAAATGTTAGCATGTGAATTTGAACGTCTGAAAAGAATTTTTATAATGCAAATTAATGTTTTTGCTAAATCTTACACTGAAAGGTAAACCTGAGAATATAAAAGAAAATAATATTTATATGTAGCAAACTGTAGGATTTATTAATCTGTCAACAAGACAGACAAAAACAGAAGGCTTGTTGTATCTTACATGTTCTTTTTTGGAGATAAAATGTTGGAAAACAGCTCTGAGAGAAATTTCTTGTTTAAAGATTATCAATATGGAGAATTACTAGTGGAAGCAACCTATAACCTTTAAGGCAGTTTTTCCCCTTTGATAACCTTTATTTTGGATGCTGTAATTTACCTTCAGTGTAAGAGAGTTTTAGCCTTTCCTATCTGCAAAGCTGAACCTTAAAAAGTGCAGTTTTCTTATACTCTGTGTATGCTAACTTGAGTTGGCCTAATAAAGGAGTACTTTCCTTTTCAGGTGGGGATTTCCTAAGGTATTTTCCTTTTAAATTGACTTTGAAAGAAGTGAACTGAGTTTTGAGCTTCCTTACTCATGTTTGACTGCTTTATTACTGAAACTTTGTGCTGATTTTTGTTTATTGTTCAAAAGATCAGGTAATTGAAATTAATTTAGTTACTCTTCTCTAGATGCCTTTTGGGCATACTTGAAAAAACTACATGTATAAATGTGCTTTAGTATGAATCTCGCTGACTTTCATTTGATTTTTCATTTGTTACTTTGAGAGAAGGAGAACAAAGGTTGCTTATGTAAAATGAGAGCACAGAAACATAGCAAACATGCCTATTCTTGTGAGAGGTGTGGTGTGTAATAGCTTATGATGAGGTGCATTTGAAGAGTTATTATGATTAAAAAGATGCTGCCTAATACACAGGTCTGGTAGAACTACTGCTTCTACTCCTTCTGATAGTATTTTTCCCCTTTACTTTCCTGCTTCCCCTACCACTGCACCACTACCACGTTCTGCTTTTTCCCTTCATGAGGGAGGGAGTTCATAGGGGAAAACTAGCTGCCAACAGAAGCGTGCTTCCAGCTGGACTCTAAAGATAAAACTCAAAAATATGTTGCAGAAATGCACTGGAAAAAGGGAAATAATAGCCTTGGGAGTTCTCTCTGTTTTGAACTGTGGCAGCTGGGCAATTGCATTGCAAGGGGTTATGTGTCTGTGGCTTATGACTAGTTGGTAATTATAAACTGAAGATAATTCAGTGCACTATTTATATAATTTCTTGTTAAAATTTTCATGGATGTTCACTTGTGATTCTGTTTAGGGTTGGCATTTTCATCATACTGCATTTACATAGTTTCCTGCTTTTCTTATGTTTGGGAAAATTATGATCAGAAAGCTTTTCCTATATTAGGTAGTTTTTTCAGGACCAGAATGCAAGCATTGATGTTTCTGTGGATTTGGAAAGTCTTTTTTCTTTTGGAGTTGGTTTTGGTTTCTTTGCTCTTCAGGTATTCTCTCCATATTTCTTCAACATAGGCAGTTAATAATGAAAACTGATAATGTTTCGTCTGCCAGGTATGTGATAGAAAATGTTTGTCCAAACCTGCAGCTTAAAAAGAGGTGTCTGGATGAACTCAGCAAAACAGGTCCCAGATTATGTGAATTCATGTTCACCCCTGAGGATATCTAATAATCTGATTTTAAAAGTAATCAATTATTGAACTGATATGCAAACTCTTTCTACTGTGGTAGCTTAAATTTTACTCAAATTTATTTGATTTTCATATCATTAAATCTATATCATTATTTAAAAATCATAGATATGGTAGGCCTGCAGCAAGTTTCTCTGCAACCCTATGCATTTGAGTGACGGTGAGTAATGAAAAGTGTGGATAGGAGGAATAGTTTCTACCTCCTTGTGTCCCCTTCAGTCCCATCACATGTCCATGAACATAGGTGGTTGCTACTTGACTGTGCTAGGAAATGATTAAAGATGTGCAGTTGGATTTTTGTCTGCACAAATAAGTATTCCAGACAGTCGGGCTATCATTGTATGCAAGTTGGAATTAGAAGATGTAGTTAAAAGAGTTTATCTGGAGAAACCAGGGAAATGGCTGAAAATTTGTAAGTCATTAAATATTTTATCAGGAAATCCAAAATTTGGTCACCAAGAACATGACTGAGTGCAAACAGGTCTGAATAAAAGAGGGTCTTTGAGACACAATATAATCGATTGGAAAAGGATTTTTACAGTGTCAAATATTTTTGTTTGTTTGTTGGACTTCACAGTTGTAGTTGACAGGAGAACCAAAATATTTTTGTATTGATTTTTTTCTAAAGGTTTATTTGTATCAGCACTCCACCAATAATATCTGCTAGAAAATATACTGATCTAAACATTTAATTTTGTGTTTTTCTATACAAATATTGAAGAACGCATGCATTAGAAAAGTAGTACACCCATTTCTTTGTGATTCATCCTAAATTGTATACTAAAATGGTGTTTTCCTTCAATTTAAAAGAAAAAAGATATGAGAACATATAACATGATGTAAAATGGAATGCATTCTATCATTAATATCCCTGAAAAGCTTGGAAATATGTAGTCTAACATGGGACTTGTGATTTGTAAGAGGGAATGCAGAGGGTACTGATCATTCTCACTTGGTTTGTGTTCAAATGTGTTCAAGCCCTTCCTATTCTGTCAGTGAATTTCCTGTTGCCTCATCAATAGGACAAATCAGTAAGTTTAAAAATGGACCTGATATCCCAATTTGGAGCATGGGGTAGAGTAAAAGGTGTTCTACTTTTTCCCAAGTAAGCTCTTTCATTCTATACCTGAAACACAGATTACAGCCAGCTGATTTTGAGTAGGAGTGAAATTCCTACTCAAAGGTGTGCCAGGCAATACCACATCTTTTGAAAAGATGTCTGAAGAAAATATCTGGTATTTTAACCCTTATTTGAAGGTCAGAGATAAAGTTTACTGAATCAACTAAAGGAGGCAAACTATACAGAAGATCTCCAGTTTTTGAGAATTCAAACTGAGTATCTTTTAATAGATTCTTTTGGGGGGGATTGTCACATTCAAAAACTTATATAGAGTGAGTTGTTCCAGGGCTAGCTCTGGGCTAAACAGTGTCTTCAAAGTAGGTTTTGAAAAGGGCCTGGTGTTACTTTACTTTCCTCTTAGTGAAGCTAAATGGAAATTTCTGTGCTGAGTTTAGGAAAGGATGGTTACTTCTGTGCAAGCAGGATTTTCTGTTTGAATTGTCAGAACAAACTACCAGTACTTGGAATTAATCTAGTCCAGGCTGACTACATCAACTCCTTAAGAGCCTTAGAAGCAGTTGTAGTGAATGGCATTAATTGATAAAAACATTAAATATTAGTGGGGCATTGATAAATGTGGTCAGATTAAAACAATTCAAAAACTGAAAGTATCTGCAAAGGATCATCCATATCAAGATTCAGTGATCATACCAAGTCACCTAATACACCAGTATCTAATGGTCTAGTCTAAACTGAGTGCCTTTAGCAGCAGTTACCATGGGTAGTATCTGACATAGCACAGCTGTTTTCACAAAGGAGAATACATGTCACAAAGAATAGTTAAATGTTACAGCTAAAATGTGTATTTCTTCCAGTTCAGTCATTGGCTAATATAAGGTCCTATGTACATTTTTCATCACATAAATATATAACATTTTGCCTTGTGTTATTACTGACATGGGAGATGAAGCTGGTGTCTTCCATCTTGCTGATACTTCAGATTTGGACAAGTCACCCAGCCCAGGGTAAGGCCAGGTTTTCCTCAGGTTTGAGCAGCACACTGGACTAGTTAAGGGACTGAGGTCCCTTCCAACCTCACTTATGTCCAGAGTGCCTCTGTACCTGAATGATACTGAGCTTTCTGTTCTAAAGGTCAGGAATAGTGAATATATCCTTTTGACTGCTGACACTTGAAAAAAACCTCAAAGATCCCCCAAATTAGGATCTTCCTATGTATGCATGACTTTCACCAATACCTATAGTGGGGCGACCTTTTGCTGTGGTTTGACTGTGAGAAAGGGTGAGTGAAAACCTGGGTGGAGTTTTGTCATGCTTCCATAGTCCTCTGTCCAATGCCAAATCATGGTAACTTGGGATGATATTGGAAATGGAGGAGGAGAAAAATCACATCAAACTGGTGGGAAGGGAAACAAAGAAGTAAAGAAGCCACAGCACAACGATGCTGAAAGTTTTTTCATTTAGAAAAAAGTAAAATGATTTCAAGATTTTGAAAGAAAATTGTAGGCCAGTTTGTCTTCCCCTGCTCAGCAGAAATAATTGTAAAAGTTTAGTTGAACTGTTAAATACATTCAGTTGCCCTAAATGTTCTTAGTAAGTTTAGAACATGCATAAAAGTTTTCATGAATTCCTGATATTTAGCTTTTCTGAATTGAGACTACGCTTTAATAAGCAAAAATCAGTGCTGTTTTGTATATGGTATTAAAAATAAGCTGATACAGAATAAAATTAGCTGACTAACTTAATGTTGTGCATTTTTTTACTTAAAGTGAATACTTTGAGAGTCTGAGTGCTTGAAATTATGAATTGCACGTGCAGAAAGTAGGAAATCATGGAATCTTGGAGAATTAAGTATTTATATATGGAACAATCTTAACTGGAATTGTCCAGCAGACCAGTTTATAGAAGCAGATGTTCCCCCACACACCCTCAGGAGTTTTGTGACCTTGAAATAGCTTGCTTGAGGCTTTTGAGATTGAAAAAAATTAAAATGCTGGCTAAAATTCTGAATTTGGTACCTAGCTTTTTAGTAATTTGCTATGACCAATTTAGCTTTTTATTAGTATAATTTAGAAAAAGAAATGTTTCGTATTTAGTCATGCAAATGTTTAGAAATGTCAATATATTTTCTTTTATGGT